TTATTAGTATCACTAGTTACTCTACTACTACTTCTTCTACTCTCAATACTATACCCTACCCTCCCCCTACCCCCCCTCCCCCCCCCCCCCCCCCCCCTTCCCAAAAAAAAAAGGTTCATTTTGAACCCTCTTGTCTTCTCCAAAAATGAATACTAGACTATTCATTTTGTGAATTTCAAGATCTTAATATTTATAAATTCAAAATCATTTTTTTTTTTTAACATTGTTCTTCTAATGATAATAAAGTTATCTAAAAAATTTGGAAATGAAAAAATTTTAAAGGCCTATATCTAAGCATCTCACCAAAATGAACGGCCTATGTTAATTGGGATAAAAAATACTTTTTAGGTTTGTTTTCAATCTTCTTCTTTTTTTTTTGTAATTGTTCATTAGAATGAAAAGAATGTATATTTTAAAATTGGGATCAAACAAATGGTCATAAGATAGTTTTTTAAGGTTGTTGCATCATATTACCATACAATGATTGCATGAAATCATCGTCATATATATATATATATATATATATATTAATGAATATATATATCCTATTATTTTAAGCATGATTATAATTTCACCTATATTTTTTGCTTATTACATTTTTTTTTTTTTCGGATCTTTAGGATCCGAACAAAATAATAATCTGAACGCCAAGGTCTGAAATTGCCCTCTATTTAAAAGATCTTTGAGATCCGAAATAAAATTCCAAACCTTCAAAGTCCGAAATTGTGGATAAACATGGAATTGGATTTTTGATGAGATTATACATAAGTTTTGAGATGTTAATTTTGAAACATTTAGTGTTTTTTTATTTTTTTATTGGCTGAGAATGAATAAAAATGTCATAATAACATGACAAATCTTGTGGAGCATATTATATATATGCTCACTTGTTATGTTATTATGATATTTTTATTTATTTTCAGTCAATAAAAAAACACTATTTTCAAAGTCAACATCTCAAAACTCTTTTATACTTTGCTCAAAGATCCAACACTATATTTATCCACAATTTTAGACTTTGAGGTGATATTGAGAGTGCAAATCTTCTTCTTCTTCTTTTTTCATAGCTTAAATATCTTAAAATAGGCCAATTTTGGATCTTGAAGGTCCGAATTATGTTTTTTTGGATTGGAGGTCCGATAATTTTTTTATTTCGGATCCGGAAGATTTAAAAATTGGGGAATTTTGGAAAAAAATTCCGGGGCTCCTAAGATGGGTATACATGTCACTTATCACATTCAAAATTTTAGATAGTACATGTAATTTTACCTTATCGTTTTTTAAAGATACACTATAGAATTATCTGATGGAAGAAGTTTATATAAGGTTGCAACTGTAGAACTACGGAAGCACTTCAAAAATCCATTGGAAAATATTGTCTTAATGTTGAAAAATCCTCTAATTGATCATCTCGATATCGAGATATATGACTATGAAAAAAAAGGATTTTGGGTCCCATAAATAGTACATCTTATAATACATTATCTAGACTCTCAATTTTCAAGATTTTCATATTTTTATAGATCTATTTGATTTTAACTAATTTTGGATTTTAAAATTTTATAATTGGATATGAAAATAGATTTTGAGATAATTCTAATAATATTTTACATGAAAATTATATGTTATGATAAAATTTGAAGGTGCTCCCAACCTTATGGAAACCGCACCTTTACTTAATATCATCTAAATTTTCCTCACTTTCTTTAAAGGATGTAGTTTCAAATTAGAGCCTACCTTCAAATGGTATCGAGAAATGTTGTTTCAATGTTGGAAATCTTTGTAATAGTCTGAACATATATTTTCATCTTTATTTATAAATTTAAAGCTTCAAAAATAGTGTGGATTGATAGATCTATGAAAACTTGAAAATTGACCGCCTAAAAATGCTTTATAAAATACACTATTTTCAAATCTTGAAATCCATTTTTTTCCCATTTCTATACATCTTGATGTCGAGATGATCAATATGAGGATATTTGGGCATCAAAATAACCTCTTCTACTCTCCAACTTGATTGTTTAGAGTGGTGGTTCTATATAAACTTTTCGCTTGATTAAAAGGTTAATTTGGAAATTAGTGTTTCTAACACTTTGGCCCGTGTTCATCTCCTATGGTATGACATATATATTTATTATAAGAACATTTTAGTAGAATAAATATTTTACAACGACCCATAGGTCGTTGACCTTCTGAACCCGTGTTTTTTTCCATTAGTACATGAGAATGGAACTTGAGAGGTTGCGCTATAAAAACCTAACTGGACGCAAGCCCGATTCCTAAGCACTTTATTTTATTTTATCTAAATATATTTCATAGAGAAAAAGCTTTTTAATTGGGGTCTCTCTTAGTTTAAGTGATTATAAGTGCTACAAAAGATGATATGAGAGTCCATTAAATTTTAATTAATATGTTCTCGATCACTCTCTCTCTCTCTCGCACATAGTTTGAATGATTTTAAGTGCTACAAAAGATGATATATGAGTCTAATAAAGTTTAACTAAGATCACATATACTATGCTCTTTTGGAAGCATGGTTTGCTTTACTCCTTCGGTCCGGAGACGTACTCAGGAAGATTTTTTTAATCTAAAATTCTGAAAACCACTTATGAATTACTAGATGATTATTTTAAAAATAATAATAATTAAAATTCGAGTTTGTTAACACTTAGATGTCACGTTTTGAAAATCCGATTGTTTCTATTCAATGTTAAGACAATTCAATGTTAAGACAGTATTTTTTAAGTTAAGAAAGGGTACAATTAAAAAAATTCTTTAATGAGGTTAATCCATGAGTTAAAGAGGCTACAACCCCAAAATTAGGGATATTAAAATTAGGACTAAATGCACAGTTTACTCCTGTTGGAGTTATTTTTTAATAGGGTTTTGGTGATATGGGCAGGTCTGGATAGGGGAGAGAAACTGATGGGGCTTGGGTCAAGGAACTTCTTCCTCTGTAATAAGAAGCCACACCCTCCCAATTCCTCATGCTCCAATGAAGCCGAGAATGCCACAAAAACTCCGTCCGGCCCTTGGTTCAAATTCTTGGATTTCTTGCGACCATGAATTCAATTCTTATTGTTTGTACGTTCTTAAAAATTTGTGATTTTAACTATTTGTTGTGAGTTATTGTGCAACCACTCCTCCTTATGAAGGATCTGTATTTTTCATCTCTCTACATGTTAAGTGAGCATTAATATTCTCAGGTTTACCTGGAAACCCAAATTAATGCTTGAAGATCGATATCCAAGATTCATATTAAAAAAAAAAAGTAATAACACCATGTGAGCATTAATGCTCGTTATAGCATATTATGAATTTAGGTGTGACACCAATAGACGATAAGATGAGAAATAATATATTTAGGTGGATGGCTATGTGTGGTGCAAATTTAATACATCATTTGTTTGGCGGTGTGAGTTAGTTTAAGTAAAAACGAAAAAAAGAAAAGTAAATGGTAGGCTCAAAAGTATATGATTGGAAGTAATGTGAAAATGTATGAAGACCTATGACCTCATTGAGAGTATGATGATTGAGAGTATGGTGATGATGATAAAAAAAAGATCCATTTAGGAAGTTCTTTGGAAAAGTACAAATGGTCACATGATGTGATATTAGGTTGCTGCAATTATTCCATTGATCAAACTCAAATTTTAAAATAAATTTTTTCGAACTTTGTAACACATCCAAGCTATTAAATTTCACATCAAATGGTTATAAGGAATTGTGACCACCTGGTATCAATGGTAAATGATCTCATTGTATGTAATGCCAAGTACTTAGCTTAAATCACAAGATTGAATATTTCTAAAACAAAATTTTGGATTTCAAGTTAGTAAAACGCTTAAATTTGACAATTTTAAAATTGTTTCGAGATGTTATTTTTTTTCAGGTGCATATAAAGTGTTTTTTCTTCTTGTAGATGTTTTGGGCTAGCTTGAGGATAAATCTGCAAAATTTTGGGTACTAAAAGTACTCCCTTTCCTATAACGGACGGGAGCATATAACATTGGGCAAGCGTTTTATGTTTCTCTTATAACATAAAATTTATATTTTTCCCCTTATTCAACCATCCATTTTGAAAGGAGAGCTAAGATTGCCCCCATCACAATGTAACACTCCACATTATTTTATTTTTAATTTTTTTTTATATAAACTATTTTAACATTAAATTTTCAACGTCCAATCCTTTAATAAACTCGCATTTGTAAAAAAAATATAATCAATGAAATAAAATTACCAAAATAACTCTGAAAGATTCAAAGGGTATTTTGGTTATTATATTTTATCAAAATTGTTTTTTTAATATTTTTTATAGGTGTGTCCCAATGAGTAGATGGCATGTACCAAATTTCATATTCATGCAATTCATATAAAAAAAATTAAAAAGAAAATACTTTGAAGCGTAGGATCTAAGATCAAACGGTGAATCACTCACTTGATCAAAATTGGACGGCCGAACGGTAGGAGAAGTATAGATCTTCTATGTTGTAGGGGAAATATGGAACCTTTCCCTATAATATTTTGGCTATTGAAGTTAAAATTAGCCAAGGAACAACTCGAGCAATTCGAAATTAAGTTCTACGGCCTCATGAAAGTATCATGTGTGGGTGAAATTCCTTTTTATTTAGTGATTTATGTTTTGCATGTAGTTTATATTAGGGATTGTGTGTAAATATATTATTTACCTTTTGTACATAGAGGTCACAATCATTCTTGCTGCTTAAATTTCAAAAGGAGTGGTTATAAGAGTGTTATTGAATAAACACAAAGTTTCAAAAAAAATATTTTTGGGACTTTGTGACTTGCCCAAAACTAACCAATTTGACATCTAATTAGTGGGAATGATTTGTGATCTCCATGTACAAAAGATAAATGATCTATTTGTATACTTCCCTTAATATAAGACGCTCACTTTGGAAAATTGAAGTGTTGAAAAATCTTATGATGGCATGAAAAAATTTCATTCGTAATTATGAAATTTAAATATCTGAAAATAATGCTATCGAGCAAACCTGTAATCCCTTGAAAATCTTGAAAATGAACGACCCAGATAATGAGTTATACGATACATTTTTTTTTAAGATTTGAGAACATTACCAACTAGATGGTTTTTTAACATCACTGCATCAAAATAGCCTTTCTTCTTTTTTTTCTTTTCTTTTTTTTTTGTTAAGGTAACCTCAAGGTTGATCTTATATAAACTTTTTCTTTTATTTTTTAAAGGCCAGACTATGTGTGTCAAACTTCTTTTGGAATTTTGAAAATTTGTACTTGAAAACCTCAAATAAGAAGGCTAGCATCCAATATATAGGAGTGTCAAAAGCAAACTGGTCTTTTAGACAACAATGTCCATGTACCTTTGAGATGGAGGAGCTGGGATTTTAAGTGACAAATGCATTGATTGTAGTGCCATTCAATAAGAAAAATAAAGGGTATTTAAATGTCTAAAATGAGTAAGGTCCCTCTATGTGTCGACATGTGCCAAAAAACACAATTAAGATGGTTGGTATCGCTTGAAGTTTTAGTTAGTATTATAATCAAACTTAGATAGTCGGTAACCAATTGGACTTTGAAATGTTATCAACCCTGCTTTGAACACATGGATGCGCCTGTTAAAACGGCCATCTAGAAACCCAATATGGATCAGCAAATTATTGCTCTGGATCTGTGATCCTGACCGATTCCCTTGTGCGAGGACCGATAAAAAAATTTAAAATAAAAAGACGAGAAAAAAAATACAATGCAGGAGAATCAGGTCTGACCAGTTCATCGGGTTTCTTGACAGAACCAAGCAATTCCAAGAGAACTAGATGAAATCCCAATTCCAACAAGGAATCGGTTTGGTATGGATCAATTCCTAGTCCGAATCGACAAGTGATATAAATCACTGACTTTTTAAACACTGAAATATGATACAATTCTAAAATAAAATAAAAGCATACTTTTTTTTTAGAATAGAAATTCAAAACATACTTAGTTATTGATGATTAAGCATTCAAAAGGAATAATGAATTTCTAGTTTGAAGTTTCCAAAGAATCCGGGAAATGGAAACTCCAAATTTTAATCCCACGCGGTTGAAAAACCAGAAGACAATGGAAAATTCAATCACCATAAAAAATGGGCAAAATTTTGGGGTTGTTAATGTTTTTGGAAATGTGTATTATACTGATATCTGAGTTTCAAACGAGACAAGGACCTTCTAAACCATGCAACATATGCGTAAAACAAAAATCGAAGTCAAATACGATCTAATAGCAGTTGAAATCTATAGAAAATTAAGAGAAAATCATTAAAATGGTCAAACTGCTTCAAAAAATCACTAACAATGTAAAATATGTGATTTTAACAATAAAGTGATTATTTTGATAAAATCATTTAACTTAAACACCGACTCAAGTATTTATTGGTTAGAAAAGGCCCAGTACCCTTACTCTAATTTTACCTTACTTGAGTGTCTCAACTTAAATGACTTTACTTGTTTTAGGTTCCAAACCTAAATCATGTTCCTTCCATAAAATCTTGTGGTTCGGATTTGAAACGTAGAACAACCATGGATTATGTCATTTGGCTCAACTCAATTGTCCCCAGCAAAGGACAAACTTACCTATGTTCCAAACCCAGAGGAAGATGTGTTTTTGCTCCATTAATTTTGTTGTTTAGCTTCAGAATCTATAACAAGCAAGAAATTTTGGATAATTTGCCTTTTGTTATTAGCTAAGTTATCATAGTATAGATGACCTTATTAAATCAATAATTTAAAGCCCAGATCGATGGGGCAGATAGTTCACCCACATATCCATTTTGGATAGTTGGATTGGTGATCGGGTTTGGATCAGTCCGAATGGGTGAATCCAAAAAACTACTGCAAAAAAAATATAATAAACTAAAAATTAAAATAGGGGTTTATGGAATGGGGATTTAAGAAGACTTTTTTTTAGAAATAAGATTTATACGACTAAAGAAAACATTAATCAGGCTTAAAAAAAATAAAAAATGATTTTGGGGGAACCAGTACGTCACCCATACCATCCCAATATTGGTTCGGTTTTGACCGATTCCCATCTGGATCGGAAAATAATTGTGGGTTTTAAAATAATATATTAAATTATCCATGTTTTTCCATGAGCACGTGTACAATGCTCCCTCAGGTGCATATATTATATATTTACTCTCTCAAGCAAGACACTAACTCGGCAGATTTATTTATTTATTTATTTGAAGTTTTGGGATCCATTTAATTTATAATTACATTTTTGAAAGAAAAAAAAAAAAGATTTTGAGTTCATAAACATTTATATCAATCTTAGGACGATTTTTTTTTATGCACATAGAGAGTTAATTTTCTTGGAGGTCTTTGCCGGGATTCTAGAGATCACATCTCCAAAATTTGAGATACAAAAAGATATACCTAGAATAAGTTTTTTCCCAAAGGAATAAAAGATTGTATACTCCGCGGGACTAGGAAATGTTTTGACTCTTGTATACTGGATCTTGGTGTACTTTTAGGTCGTTTGACCACCGTTTTTTTTGTGATACTGTCGCACGTGCGTGTTCCTGACACTGCCGAAATTTAGCGGTGCCCGAAGGCCTCGCGTGCGTGCCAAAAAAAAAAAGAAAAAAGAAAATAGAAGAGAGGGCAGAATGCAGTGGTTCGACTGTGCGACCACATGGACCAAAGCCTCCAGATCCACAAAGCTCAAAGCGTTTAGACCTTTTAGGGTTTTGGACCTGCAAATTTCTTTCTCTGCCTCTCTCTATCTCTCGTTGCGCTAAAATGGTATGAAGAATTTCACGAGAGCTTCTAATGGAGGGGGATTTGTTTCTCTGGCTTCTAGCTTTCTTCCTCCTCATCGCTCTTCTAGGACTTATGGTTTATCAGGTAAATCTCCCTCTCTCTGTTTCTCTCTCTGTTGTTCATACTTTATTTATCAATTTCGATTGGAAAGATTGTGTACTTATTTGTCAATTGGATTGGAAAGATATGGAGCATTGATACTGTATTTATTGTTCACAGTGCCATGCTTCTTCTTTGAAGTCCTTTATTACACAATAGATGTGATATCACACCATTCCAGCTTGATCTAAATCCATTATATAGCTTGTTTAACATTCAATATTCTGAACATGAAGTTTTTTGAGTTGCAGCTTGATAGGCGACAGTTTGATTGACTCATAAATTGCAGTTCTTGTCCATCCAGAATTGTTTGCCTTTGGATTACAGATAAATAATAATGCCATTTAATTTATCATTTTCTGGTTCTTCATTGATAGTTGTGCTAAAAATCAGAATTTTGCATATATGAATTGTCAATCAATGTTAGTATGTATGTATCCTTATGAAATACCTTATTCTAGGGTATGATTCCCAAATTGGCCATGATAATTGATCAATTGCACGCAGCTTATACAAATGTAACGAGATTTTGCTTGGAGATGTGAACTTCTGCATCTTCAAATAATTTATTTGGATTTTTTGAGCTTTCATAGTGTTAGCTTGGGCTTTTGATTCTAGGAATGCTGTATAGACTAGCATATACGAATGAGGAAGGGAGGCGATTGTTTATGTGAATGCCAAACTTTAATTTGTATTTATAAATAGACAAATGTTTTTATCAGACGTCTCTGAAGGGACTATAAATGCCCAATTTTCTGGTATGAGATTCATTGCATGCTTGAAAAATTTGTCCAATGCTACAGAGAAAATTTTATGGTTAACAACAAAGCCTTCCTCCAACTACATATTTTAACTGTAGATAATACCAGTTTTGGCATATTTACTAAGCTTCCAAACAGTGTTTTACAAAACGGGTGCCTACCCCGCCTTGCTGAGACACCTCATCATGGGCAGGGGACCTATTAAGTGCTCATCTAGGTGACCTAGAGGGCATCTAAGTGGGCACGTAGATGCCTTTTGCAACATGATTGCAGAAAGAGAGCAACAACACCCTCCCCCGTGGGGGAAAAACTATGGCCTGGCGCCAAAAGATATGGTCTGAGAGCCGGGCCGGACCTAAGCGTAGCCTGCCCAATGATTCTCATTAGTTTTTCTTACTTTTTTAACAGTTTCAGAGAAAAGAAAATTAGTTTTTCTTACTTTTCTTTAACGAATTTATTGGGCTCGACCTGACCCAGACCATGCCAGGGCTGGCCTGCCCTGATTGGGATTGGGGCTTACTTGTTACCTTATTCTTCCAAAATTGCTACCCTCTTTTAAAATTGAATTTTGAATTCTGGGACTTTTACCTTCATTAATTTACTATCTCATGAGTGCATTAGTGACTGAGATTATCTTTAATCTTCTAAAGTTGTTGTTTTCTCGTTTGGAATTGAATTTTGTATTATGGGCATGCAATTGTGCCTTTTATTACTTTGCTAATTCATGAATGCGCTGGTACACATGCATTAAATCGACTATAGCTGAGAGAGAGAATAATTATGAGCTGTGCCCCATCACCCCACACCACCCTTTCATTGGGGTTGGGGAGTCTCAGACATGAAGCCCTGGCCTTGGTGGCCAAGGCACTGCCTAGGCAGCCGGCGGCCCTGATCGCCTTGGGGGATGCCTTATGAATATCAAAACACTGCGACTAAGGATAACCCTTAATTCCTTCTCAAAAAAAACAAAAACTTCTCAAAAAAAAGGATAACCCTTAATTCAAATTCTACAATATATGGATTACTGTTTTGCAATCATAAGGGAGTCATATAATCAGTTGTTGGATGAAGATCATTATGCTTTATTATAGGATTAATGGCTGTCATTCTCATGTCGCTTGTTTGCTGTATGGCGATGTGAAATATTGCAGCTTTCGTTGATCCGAACAATCACAATCTAAACCTCTTTGTATACTGCAGCTTATGTGCTTGGTGGACTTAGAATTTGACTACATCAATCCTTACGATTCAGCATCACAAATAAACAGAGTCATTCTTCCAGAATTTATAATTCAGGGAATCTTAAGTTTATCCTTCCTTCTCAGTGGCCATTGGGTTATGTTTTTGATATGCTCACCATACCTATACTACAGTGTGAGATTGTGAGTATCCTTCTCCTATTGGCTGATCTGGTATGTGCATGTAATTGGTGCTATTACTTTTTAAGCAAGAGTAGACGTCACATAAACTTTCTTGCAGTATAATGTTTTTAGCATGTAAATCTATCATTCATGAGTTATGATGTTTATGGAGTGTCATGTGTGAGAATTAGTTATAAGGAAATAGACTTTGTTTTCACTCGGCCCCCAAACAACCAGTTTTGAAAAGACGTGGGTCAAAACGTCCCCTTCCCCTTATGAAAGGGCATGACCCAACTAACCTTTTAAAGAGTGACCAAGGACCTCATTTGTACAATTAAAGGGGAATTCCAAAGAACAAGTTCTGCAATTAGCCCTTATTTTCCTTTTCTACATTCTCCTTCTACCCCATTCATTCACCACCACCAAATTCCAACTAGTCCAATTTTCCGACCCTGCATTGACTCAAATTTTCCAGCACAAACTTCCCAGCTGAAAACATTTATCCGTTTCACTCAATCCAGGCCCTTTTTGCACTAAGATATATGGAATTATTTTCCTTTCCTTTGGAAATTAATGGGCCTAAGGGTATTGATAATGCATAGTTCTTAGCTGGCAATGTTCACCCATTCTTAAAAACTACATGGTATGCGCAATTAACTAAATGCTGTTTTCTCTCTTACTTGTTAAGCACATTCTGTTAACAACATTTGGGTGTCAAGAAACTAGTTTTATAGAGAAAAACTGGGTCCAGGAGATCTAAGGGCTTTGATGGTTTAAAGAGATGGTGATGCAAATAAAAATCAGGGTTTTTCAATTTTTAATTTTATATTTTTTTAATTTTAAAAAAGTTTTATTTGAGATTTTAGTTTTCTTTAGGGTTATTCCTCTCTTTTGTAGTTATAGAGATTTAGATGGTAGAATAGTAAATTCTCTATGGGAGTTGGTTACGATAGATTTTTATTAGGATATAGTTTATATTTTTGTGGGGGTTGAGGTCTTTATTTCTTAATGGGTTGATAAGCATCATAAAAGACAAAAAGAAGAAAAAAGAGATAAGGGAGAGTTGGAAAAGATATCAAACTTTCATTTTACAAAATATGAAGTTAGAGAGAAATAAGGGTGGGTTGATAAAGTGGTACATAGAGGGGAGAGAGAGAGAGAGAGAGAGAGAGAGAGAGAGAGAGAGAGAGATAAATTATCTTTGTTTGTAGAATTTATGTATTTTTTTATTTTTTCAACTAAGTATATTTAAAGGAAAGATGTCCCTTCTTTGTAAATGGAGATTTTTGGTAATTGAGTAAAGAGCTTGATCTTGTGAAAAGATCTTGGAGTGGACTTCCTTGCAGACCCAGAGAGAGAGATCTTTCCAATTTTTATTTTCCTGTTATTGTTTAGCCTTGCATCAGCTGGTATTAGAGCCTTGAGATTCGTGGTGATCACAAATAATTGATGATCTAGTTATGGAGTGTATAGATTAATATTTGAGCGATTGGTTCAAAAATTTGACAGACTCAAAGAAGACCTAGTAGAACGTATTGACAAAGTAATATAACAAAGTCTATGAGATCTATTTAGTAGATTGCAGCAAGAGAAAAAAGAATATGAAGAGGTAGATCTCGATGCAAAAGACAATGTTTTAGCCCAAACATGGAAAAAATTTCGAAAATCAATTGTGAGAAAAACAATACGTGTGTTGCAGCTTTTGAAATACCACCTTGTGAGCTTGAAGGAGAAATCAAGATTCTGTTTGGTATTCCAGAGCTCGGTGTCTCAGACTTCCATTACAAATCGTGTTGGATCAATTGTTTATTTGAGGAAGAAAAAGTACCTAGAAGAATGTTGGGATTGCATCACCAACTTTTGAGAAGGCCTCTAAAAGATTTGAGTTCTATAGGCTTGAGGTCGAGCTTCTCCCACCTGGAGAGAATGATGCAAACAAAAATCAGGGTTTTTTAATTTTTAATTTTATATATATTTTTTTTAATTTTAGAAAGGTGTTATTTGAGATATTAGTTTTCTTTGGGGTTATTTTTATCTTATTTAGTTATAGAGATTTAAAGGGTAAAATAATAAATTATCTATGAGAGTTAGTTAGTATATATTTTTATGAGGATATAGTTTCTATTTTTGTGAGGGTTAAGGTTGTTATCTCTTAATGGGTTGATAAGCATTATGAAAGGAAAAGAAAAGAAGAAGAAAACGACAACAGAGAGTTGGAAAAGATATCAAACTTTCTTTTTACAATATATGAAGTTAGAGAGAGATAAGCGTGGGTTGAAAAAGTGATACATGGAGAAGAGAGACAGAGAGATAGACAAAGTTATTTTTGTTTGTGGGTTTTATGTGTTTATTTATTTTTCAACTAAATATATTTAAAGGGAAGATGTCCCTTCTTGTAAATAGAGATTATTGGTGATTGAGTAAAGAGTTTGATCTTGTGAAAAGATCTTCTTTGTAAAATCTCTCTTTATAAAGAATGATCATCTTTTCTTAAATACACTTAGTTGAAAAAATAAATAGATACATAAGACCCACAAACAAAAATAACGTTATCTATGTCTCTCTCTCTTTATTCTCCACGTACCACTTTTCAACCCACCCTTCTCTCTCTAACTTCATATCTCGTAAAAAGAAAATTTGATGCCTTTTTCAACTTTCCCTTATCCCTGTTTTTTCTTTCCTTTCATGATGTTTATCATCCCATTAAGAGATAACCTCAACCCCACAAAAATATAAACTATATCCTCATGAAAATCTATCCTAAACAATTCCCATGTAAATATACTATTCTATCATTTAAATCTCTACCACCCAAGTCTCTCCTTCAGCTGCCCCCCCTCTCTCCCTTGTTTTGCATTCTGACCTCTATCCTTCATTCTCTCCTCCTCCCTAGGCTCCTTCCCTGGTGCAGTCACCACCCCCTCCAGCTTCCTCTTCTTCTGCACCCACCTCCCCCCTCTGGAACCTCCAACGGAGCAGTCTCCCCCCCTTCTGCCTAACCAGAACTATCCCTGGCCCCTTCCGGGCCCCCTTTCTGTGGCACCCATCTCTCCCCCCTTGGCTGTAGCACAAGCTGAGAGGGTCAACGGGGATGGGGAAAACAATGAGGCAAGCATGGGCTTCGAACACACAGGACCGAAAGGCCCAACGCACCGATTCAGGCTTGCAGACGCCCAGAGCCGATTCAAGGTGAGAGAAAAAGGCCAAAGAGAGCTGCTTAGTCTTTTCTCTTCGATCAGCTATGACAAAACCGCAAGAGATGCCTTGTCTCTCGTCTCCACCCCGCTCGCCTCCTGCCCAAGACGGTCGGCCAGGATAGCCTCCCTCTCCATTTCTCCCATTCCCAATGTAGATTCTCTAGGAATGTTAGAGGGCTTGAACACAAGTCCAAAAGGGATGCAGTCAGAGACTTAAGCATCAAACTAAACCCCTCGATCTTAGTTCTCTATGAGACCAAACAGCCGGAGCCTTCTCTCTAGCTGATACACAGTGTGTGGGTAGAAGGCCTTGTTAGTGGGTTACCCTCCCAGCGAAAGGGGCTTCCGGTGGTATTTGGGTATTATGGAACCCTATAGAGTTCAACCTCTTATCCTCCCATATAAGAGAATTCTCTTTTACCGTTATCCTTTCCTGGGTCTCGGATGGATTCCCCCTCAAATTCTTAGCAATTTATGGGCCCAACTCATCCGCCACTCACCACCGCCTTTGGTCTGAACTCGACCTTGTAGCCTCCCTATCTCACACAACGTGGTGCTTGGGTGGTGATTTCAATGTCACCAGATGGTCTCACAAGAGGAACCATAATCACAGCCTTTCCCAAGGAATGTTTGATTTTTCCGATTTCATTTCTAGACAAGAACTTCGTGACATCCCCATCCAAGGGAACACTTACACTGGTCTAACCTCTCAGCTCAACCATCCCTTGCCAAGCTTGACCACTTCCTGCTCTCTCTGGATTGGGAAGCTTCCTTCCCCGGTTCTCATGCGGTTACCTTGCCCAAACCCACTTCCCATCATTGCCCCATACTTCTCAACACTCAGGCTACTAGCAGGGGACCGAAGCCTTTTCGTTTTGAACTGGCTTGGTTGGAAGAGCATTCTCTCAGTGGCCTTATCCCAAACTGTTGGTCCTCCTTCTCTTCTCAAGTCATGGGCAGAGCAGGCTTTAAGTTTTAAACCAAACTCCAGCTCCTCAAAAAGGCCCTCAAAAGCTGGAGTAAATCCGTCCTAGGAAACTTTACCCAAATCAAGAGGTCCTTTCTCAATTCAATTCAAGAACTTGATGGAATTGAGGAGTCTTGCCCCCTTACTGACACAGAAGCTAACCTGAGAACTCAAACCAAGTTGAACTACCTCTCCATACTGAAGAAGGAAGAATTCTTTTGGTACCAGAGGTCCAGAGTCAAATGGTTAAAAACTGGGGACCAAAACACGGCTTTCTTTCTCTGCATAGCGAATTGTCGTAGAAGAGAAAACTTGATTTCCACAATCAAGGTGGATAATCGCTACCTAGTCCAACCTGATGAAATGGAATCAGCCATTCTGGGGTACTTTAAAACTCTGTATATGGCCCCAAGGGGACGCAGACCTAAAATGACTACCCTGAACTTCCTTAGCCTTCGTGATCACTAGTCAGGATGGCTGGAACGACCTTTCTCAAAAGAAGAAATCTCCACGGCCATCGACCAACTCGACAAAGACAAAGCCTTGGGGTTGGACGGATTCCCCATGGCACCTTTTAAATCCTTCAAGGGAACCTTTCTACCTGATCTCGTAGTTTTTTCGAAGAATTTTACCATAAGGGGATCCTTAACAAAGCCATCAATGCAACTTTCATACCCTTGGTTCCCAAGAAAGAAAGGGCTGAAGAGCTAAAGGACTTTCGTCTTATTAGTTTGCTCAATTCCTCGTACAAGATCCTGGCCAAGGTTTTGGCCTCAAGACTCAAGCAGGTCCTTCCACTGAACATATCTACGTCTCAGTCTGCTTTCGTCAAGGACAAACAAATACTGGACTGAGCA